AGTTAAATAATGACCTCAAGAAAAGTTAAAAAAGATCTATAGCACTATCCAAAATAAATCGGTGTCAAATTTTTAGTTTGATAATTTTCTTTTCTCACTCTGTCCATCTGATCAGATATAAATTTATAAATCTTGAGGATATTTCAGGTATCATCATATTGCTCCTTTTACGCTGTCTTCCATCTGTCGTTAGTTTAGGTTGCACCAACTACATTGAGTGAGTTTCTGCAGAGACCGCATTGTCGATTAGAGTGAAAATGAAAGAACCGCCTTCTATGAGCAATTGAGAGACAGAGAGATATTCCATCAGAGAAGAGAGTTATTATAGGAGTGATTTTATTGCACATGTGAGTAAAATGAGCAATGCGTTGCCTTTGAAACTATAGAAATTGATGCCATTTTTCTGTTGGAGTGATTAGTCTTCAATAATAAAATGTTTAATTAATGGGAAAAACCCCGTAGTTGGCTGTATAACATCGTTTAAAAAAACACAGAAGTTAAAACACTTCACACATGTATTGTGGTATAAAAAACAAATAGTTAAAACTTTATAAAAAGTGTCGTCAAAATTTAAGTTCTAGTATAACATTTTCGATCTGAACAAATCATCCTTAGTGCCTTGCGTACTTGTAGCTAACAATAAAGTTATCTGTGAGACCTCAATGTATGGATTTACAGCAGTCCAAATGTTACATTTTGATTATGTTGTGACTCTAGGTCGATGACAATGGATAGATTTTTAATTACTTTAGGGACTACATGTCCCCCTGCTCGATTTTTTACACGTGGTGGGTAACGCGGTGACCACGTGTTTACAACCACCCGTCGACAACAGTAATAATATTAGTATCAAATATCTTTTTTCTCGTATTAAAGATAAAACACCAAAAATGTATACTATTAATACAATCTATAAAATACCGTGTTTGGGCTGCGAAGGTTGCTATATTAGACAGATATGCCAATGGTTAAAACAACGTATTACCCAGCACAAAAGTAACTGCCATAAAGGTAAAAACACATGCACTGTTGTCGAACGCTCCATCAATACAGGTCACAAATTTGACTATACGAATGTTAAAATCCTACAAACATCAAGTAATTATAAAAACAGGCTGTTTCTGGAAATCTTAGGGCTACCTTATTTTTTATATATAAAAATTTCAGAAAAACCGTCTAATCCACTATACACTTGTTGTTGTTTTGTATATTAACTTATTTTGAAAATTGTTAGTCTAATTGTCAAAGTGTCAAACTAATGTTAATCATGTCTCCTTTTTTGTGAACAGTTCTAAGTACATATTTATGTAATTTAATCGTAATGTTGCTTATCTCTTAGTTTTATTAAATTTCTGATGAAGCCAATGATCAATTGGCGAAATATTAAGTGACTAAAAAACAGAATTGTTTTAATTCCAGACCGATAGAACCTGACATATACCCAACAAAATATTATATATATATATATATATATATATATATATATATATATATATATATATATATATATATATACCGGGTGTGGTGAATCGTCAAACGGGCCATAGGAAACTCAATGTGAAATTTTAAATTGTTGAATTGCTGCTTCCCTAATTATTTTAGATCAAAAGTCATAAAAAACTATTTGTAGAGGACTAAATTCTAAATTAAAAACAAATGTTAAAACCATTCTACGAATCAAATGTACTTCAAAATTTTGCAAAAATATAATAGATTTTTCAGACCACTCCTAAAAGTTAGGCCACACGTAATACAAGAATATATTATAACGTGTGTGTTTTATTCTTACATTAATTACTATTTATAACTGGGAATAAGCCACAATTAAAGATAAAAATACGTTTATTAACGTTTCAATTTCCAATTCGGAAATCGTTCTCGAATTGGAAATTGAAACGTCAATAAACGTATTTTTATCTTTAATTGTGGCTTATTCCCAGTTATAAATAGTAATTAATTTACAATGCCACAAGAAAATAGCTTCAGAACAATATTATTCTTACATATCTCTGGTTTTATCATGTCAGATGTTTGACAATTTGAATTGTCATTTTTTTTTTTATTTTATGATTAAATTATAAACAATGAATTTTACTAAATACTACTACTACTGAACAATATTACTTTGTGAACAGTAAATTATATTGTTTAAAAATTAATGAATATAATGAAATGTACTCAGTTGACGAAAAATCGCATAATGTTGTATTCATGCAATAGCGCGAACCTTTTCCTGTCACTACCGGATCTTCTAATACACTAAAATTTAATTCCATGTTAAGTTATATAACAATTCAATGAATTCCAATATACTGTTACTGTGATCTTTATTCCTAATAATAATATACGATAATTTCTAATCATAAAACTATAACAAATGTTATAATAAAACATGAATAAAACATTTTTATTATTGCTCTTTTCTCTTTAACTGAGTACATTTTTTAATCAACTTAATTTTTCTTTTAAATAATAAATCACAGAATTTTGGCCATTTAAATCATAGATAAAATATAATATAGTTGATTTAAATATTGTCAAATATTAGAAACGTCAATATGACAAAACGCAACACGTAATACACATTCTTTTCACGGCGTCTGGCCTGACTTTTAGGGGTGGCCTGAAAAATGTATTAAATTTTAGCAAAATTTTGGAATACGATTAAGTCGTAGAACAATTTTAACAATTGTTTTCGATACATATTTAAGTCCTCTACAAATAGTTTCCCATGAGTTTTGGTGTAAAATAATTAGGGAAGCAGGAATTCAACAATTTAGAATTTCTCATTGAGTTTCCTATGGCCCGTTTGACGATTCACCACCCTGTATATATATATATATATATATATATATATATATATATATATATATATGGTCAATATAATAAAGAAACGCAAGCTGGAATACTTCGGTCATATTATGAGACACCCTGAAAAATATGATCTTTTACATCTGATCATTCAGGGAAAGATCCAAGGTAATCGTGGTCCTGGTAGAAGAAGAACATCATGGCTGAAAAATCTAAGGCAATGGTATGGAAAATCAACTACATCGTTATTTAGAGCTGCTGTCAATAAAGTCACGATAGCGAATATGGTAGCCAACATGATATCCAACGATCGATAACGGTCATGGAACTGGAAGAAGAAGATATATATATATATATATATATATATATTTATATATATATATATATATATATATATATATATATATATATATATGTATATATATATATATATATATATATATATATTATATAAGTATTTATATATTATAATTTTGCTAAACTCATGAGAATCGTAAAAATTGGCAAAAGTGGCGTTTATTTATGACTTCATTTTCGGCAATATAACAAAAGTTGCATACGAAAGCTACACTCTTCACCTTTAAACACTATTTCAATTTTTACCAATAAGAGTCTAATCCAAAGATTTTTATTTTTAATTTTTACCGTCGAGTTGATACAAATATTATTAAACAAAAATTTAACGCGCGTATCAAATTCAAAATTGCCAGTCGCTTTAAGTGTTATTTCTGAGAAAACGATTATTTCTGCAGAAAAAGTGCTAATTAACATTTTGGTTTAAAATTAACCAAGCTATATTTCTTGTTTGAAACATTTTTTCTACGGCGTCCAGAAGCTTAATAAATCGATGTTTTTCGTCTCCTTCCTCCACGATGTAATGCCTGGTTGTAGGATTGGTAAACTTGTTTTGTCAAATCAGCTGGTTGGTATGATTTTTTAAGGTTTAGCGGCATTTTCGTCATACAAGTATACTTTGTTTATTTGGAAAACTGTTTCCGATTTTTTAACAATAATTAACTTTACTATTATTGCACAATCGGTAAAGGGCATTAAGTTTTTATAAAAATATTGACTTTTGCAGACTTTAAAATCTTTTATGCAAAAAGAAACTAAAAATAATTACGTCAAACATCTCACAATTTTTCATTTGTTCTCCTTCAACTGAATAAAAATCTGAGAATGGAGAAAAAATAAACAAAAATTGATTGAATAACATTTTTATTTCTAAATAAAAAATGTACCAGTATCAAAGATCAAGGTAATTGACCTTCTGTCAGAAACGCACAGTGTAGCCGGAAAAGTCAACAAAGTTTCACACCGTAAATTCTTCTCGGGAAACTCCCATAAAAAATTTAGACGTTCCCTAACCTAGGACGACGTGTAAGAGCGTAGGCACGTGCAATCTCTCTTCCCGCTCACTCTTTCTACGGCTTCGACCAGTGGCGCCACACAAAATTAAAAAAAAAAACGAATTCGTATTAACACAATGTTGGTGTAGAAGAGAATATGATAAAATATGTACGAAACTGAAGAAAAAATAGTATATAAGTACTTTTTCAATACAGAACGTTCGAACGCTTGATAAAGTAGAGATACTGAAATAACTGTTATACTTCCGATTTAGACGTCAAAAGTTTGACTTTATCAGAGTTTAAAATACAAAATCAACGAACAAAGAACAAATTATGAGAATTGGAGTTTACTTAAACAATTACAATCCTACCCAAATACTAGCACAAAAACTCAACGTTTAATACAATATAATTTCTTAATTATATTAATCTGATAAAGTCTCTAAACATACACGAAAGCTTAGTTTTTTAACAAAAAGCACTACGAAGCACCCGAGTTTTATTTGCTTCCTTACTAAAATAAAGGGTATTTGACAGTGTTATCGTTTAAACCAGTTTTATAGCGTTATAGGCCTTTCCGATACTGATCGCCACTACTGTCTATTGTCTCCATCTCTTAAATTTCTTTCCGACATCGCCTTGTAGAAGCCCTTTATCCATATGGTTATTGTCTTCCTTCTTTTCATTTTCTGTAGGGGTCCATTCTAATATTTTTTCTTTCCTTCATTCGTCTTACGTGTCACTACCATATTCATTTTAGTTTGAAATTCTCTCCTGTTCTAAGTTCAGGTTCTCCGACCCTTCCCTTCCTACACGTAGATGTTTTTCTATATTTACCTGCAGGTATTTGAAAAATACTGGCGCTGTATAACATCATTGTCTTAGGCCTTTAGTGACCAAGGATTCTGTTGATATTCTATTTTAAATTTTAATTTTGGATGTAGAGTTTCTATAGAGTACATTAATGCTGGTTTTTTTTTTCTAATACTTCCTATAGCCTATTAATGAGTACTGTGTCATATGCCTTCGTTAGATATACCATAAGTAAACGCAACTCTTGGGCTCTTGACAGCGTTTTTCTATTTTTCTTGTTATTGCACTGTCTCCTTGCAAAGGTTGGCGATCCAAATGGCAATTGTGACTTTGGAAACTGCTGCATGAATGACTTCTGTAGATAAGCGGTCAAACCATCTTCTCAGGTCTTTCAGCCACAAATTCTAGCGTCTTCAAACTGATCTTTTGCCCTACACTTTACCTTTCAATATGGTTTGGAGAACTTCATATCTTTCACTTCTAAACACATGACCCAAGTATTGTATTTTTCTCCCTTTGATTATGCTTTTTGTTTACTCATGCGCCTAAGTACCTCATCATTGGTAACTTTTTGTATCCATGGAATTCTCAACCTTTTTCTCCTAGTTTTCTTTTACTTGGTTTATACAGAAAATATCTGTTGTGAATCTACTTACCCAAAAATTGCTTTGGTCTTCTGACATATGGATGGTTCACTTCACATACGAGGTGTTTTAATATTTTTCCGTACGGTCGACTTAGTATTCCCGTTAATGTAATACCGATGCAGTTATTTGGCTCTTGTTTCCTATCTTTTTATGTATCTATCCTTTTCATGTCCGTGGTACCGGGTCTTTATTTAAAAATCTATTAAACAATAATGTTATTATTTTTGCTAATTTATCAGTACCATTTTTAATAGTTCTGCAGGCTGGGCGTGGTAGTTTTTAATAAGGTTATTGCTTTTTTGTTTTGTTCGTCCTTTATATTTATTGGCTGTCTTGTGGCCTATATTATGTTGTGTGATGCGGTACTGAATTCTGGTCCTTTTTGTACCAATAGTGTCTTGTGTCTTTTTCGTCCATTTCGTTGTTGTTATGTTATTATCACAGCTTTTTCTCTTTTATTAGTTCTTACATTCTTTAAAAATCACCAGGCTACCTCCGATGAACGAGTCCAGCTTCTGACATTTGTGTTTCTTTTTTTGATTTTTGTTGTTAATTACTTGGGTTTTTAATTTAGCACGAGCTTGCTGATATTCCTTTTTTTACTCTCGTTTTCTATCACCAATCAGCCAATCGCGTCAACTGCTGGACATAGGCCTCCCTCAGTTCTTTCCAGTTTTCTCTACACTGGACCGCTTGTAGCCAGTTTCTCACTACACGTTTTATATCATCGGTCCACCTAGTCGGTGGTCGTCCTCGGCTTCTTTAATAGTTTCTGGGCCTCCATTTCATAATACGTCTTGTCCATCGTCCATCTTGTGCTCTGGCTAAGTGCACTGCCCAGTTCCACTTAAGCGACGTGGTTCTTTCGATGACGTCTTGAACTCCTGATCATTGCCTGATTTGTTGGTTTGTTATGTGGTCTCGAAGGCTCACGTTCAGCATTGCACGTTCCATGGCTCGTGTAACTCGTGAGTTTATTCGCAGATTTTTGCGTGAGTTTTAAAGTCTCCGCTCCATAAGTTTGTACAGGTAAAACACATTGGTCATAAACCTTTCGCTTGAGACACATGGGAATTGAACTTTTTAGAATATGGCTTAATTTGCCAAATGCTGCCCAAGTTAGGCCTATTCGCCTCTGTATTTCATGTGTTTGATTGTCTCTGCTTATTTTGATTTCGTGTCCCAGATATTTGTAAGTGTCTGTTTGTTGTATGGTATTATTGTCAATAGTTATATTTCCACTCATTACAAGTTTTGTTATTTTAATATTTTGTTTTGTTAAGTTTAGTTTTCTCAAAGTTTATCTTTAATCCTGCTCTTTCAGACAGACTTTTAAGCGAATGCATCATAGAAACTGTATCTTGTAAATTATCTGCGATTAATACATCATCTGCAAATGTTAGGTGATTTAATCTTTTTCCATCTATATTATGCCCATATCTTGCCATTGAGTGCTCTTAAATATTGACTCTAGAGCCGCCGTGAACAATTTTGGTGAAATATTGTCTCCTTGTCTAACTCCTCGACCTAAGCTGAATTTTTCTGTGTCTTCATGTAGTCGTATACTTGATGTAGTGTTCTCGTAGATGTTTTTGATTAGTGTCCTGTACCTGTAATCTATTCGGCTTTGATTTAGGGCTTCCAGTATTGTTTCAAATTCTACAGAATCAAAAGCCTTCTCGTAATCGACAAATGCAAGAACCAGTGGTATGTTGTACTCGATGCACTTTTCTATTAAGATCTTTATGGTATGCACATGGTCATTTGTGCCATATCCTGCCCTGAAGCCTGCCTGTTCTTTGGGCTGATAGAAATCAAGTTTAGGTGTTAGCCTCTTTGTTAAGATTTTCATAAAGAGTTTGTACATATGTGTCAAGAGGCTATATATAGGCAATAAAGAATGAATAAAGAATGTGAAGTCATAAAAACTGTTAAAATTAGAAAGATTCAATATCTGGGACATTTAATGAGGGGTGAGAAGTACGTATTACTGAGGTTGATTATGCAAGGGAAGATACAAGGGAAGAGAAACCCTGGACGACGCAAAATGTCCTGGCTAAGAAATTTGAGAGAGTGGTTCGGCTGCAGCTCATTAGAATTATTCAGAAATGCGGCCAACAAAGTTAAAATAGCGATGATGATTTCCAACCTCCGCTAGGAGAAGGAACCCGAAGAAGAAGAAGTCAAGAGGCTGATGGGTCTATAATTTTCTAATTTAGTAATATCGCCTTTTTTGTGTAACAAGACTATTACTGCATTGTTCCAGTCTTTTGAAATCGTACGCGCATGTAAGCATTTATTCAACAGTTCGCTTACTGATTTTAATAAAATTTCTCCTCCTGCTTTTATTGCCTCAATAATAAGTCCATCATCACCAGCCGATCTATGGTTCTCCATTTCCTTTAAAGCTGCTCTTACTTCTGATACAGAATGTCATGTAATTGGTAAAAGTATTTCTGATCCCTGATTTATGAGTCTTTACTCGTGTCGGGAAATTGTCTTGTGGTCTATGGCTGGTATAGAGGTCTTTATAAAACTCTCTGGTTATTTTCAGAATGTTTTGTTTATCTGTTGTTGCCTTTCCGTCTTTATATCTCAGCTTGTATATTTCTTTTTTACTTTGTGTGAGTTTCCTTTCATTATCTTTAAACCTTTGTTCTCTTCTACTGTTTGAGTAATTACATTAGTATTATATCTTCTTACATCTTTTCTAATTTCCGCTAAAATTCTTTCATTTAGTTTTTTATATTCTTCTTTGTTTCCCTTTTCGTTCTCGCTTGGGTTTCGTCGTATTTTCATGCGAGCTTTTGTATTTTTGCTAATCTTTTCACTTTTGGTGTCATTTTTCTTGCAAAATTTGAGTTATGCGTTTCTAACCGAGTCTGTTATTAATTTATTGTGATCGTAGATACTTAGAGGTTTGGGATTATTACTCTGTAAAGTTTAAGGCTATATTTTTTATGTGTGCTTCTGGATGATTTGGTGAATTCCAAACTATGCGTTTGCAACTATATATCATCTTTGCTTCTTCTTTTTGTAGATTTATCGTTACATAGCCCTTACTGGTCTGTGGTCGCTTCCTACTGATAGTTTATTGAGTACAGTGACATCTTGAATAATTTGCTTTTTGCCTGTTATTATATAATCATATTCGCTCTTAGTTCTTCCGTCTAGACTAGCCCACGTCCATTTTCTATTCTGTTTCTTCTTAAAAAAGGTGTTCATTGCATACAGTTTGTGTTTTCTATATCATTTGTAAAACCTAAAGTTTGTTGTGCCGCTTTGTGTATTACATTTAATATTGTTCTGTAAACATTTTGCGTTGTTTCTTGTCCGTATTCTTTTGGGAGAGCTTGATTCAATCTTCTCTAGTACAAATATTCTGTGCGTTAATTTTAGAAGCTATTAATATTATATCTATATTTAATGGTTCTTCATTTTTTGTCCTAATTTGTTAATGTTTATCATTTATAAATGCAGGTATGTATATTTTGCTCTAACTAGATGATGTTTGCTGCCATATTTTGATCCTTGGTATTATCTTATGTCATTTACTTTGAGCTGTGTTTTTTGATTAATGATCAAATAGTCAATTATTGATCTAATGTTTTTTGGTGTATTGTATCCATGTATAGATATGATTATCTTTATGTTTGTATTATTCATTAGTAATCCTGAGTAAGTTTCATTGGCATATTTTGATCAGTCTGTTACCATTTTCGTTTATCACATTTTCACTGAAAGGTTCTGTAACTTTAATGTTTTGTTTCTTGCTTGTTCTGCCGTTAAGGTCTCCCAAAATAACAGTTTCTCGAGGGTTGACTATTTGTGATATTGTTTTATCGTAAAAATTAATCTATACCTTATTGTGACAACAAAATATGTGTGATGTGATGCTTAATTAATTAATTAATTTAAAAGTTAGTCTTATTATTTATTACAAAGATCTTTTTTAGCAATAACATAGCATTACCATATAATCGGAAAATAATTGACATGTGATAATTCTGCGGTTACCATATGAAGATAAAAAGTTATGCTATTAATATTTTAACCAAAACCTAATATTTAATAACGAAACATGTTTTCGCAAAATAAGCAGTTAGTATAACATTTAGACTATTGCTTGTAAATTAAATGTCTTTGATAATTGAAAAGATGGCATTTTTGCACATATTTAAATAAAATTGGTGAAAAGTTTTCGTTGATAGACAATTTGTTTATAATAATTAGGAAATTAACTAGTCCCCTTTTAAATATTAAAATTTATACAAGTTTTTCGGTTTTTTGAACACACAAATTAGCATGTTCCCGTCCACTCTCTCCTAATACTTATTATTTAAGCCTCATTTTTAAAAACTTATATTGTTATTGATATTGTTAAAATGCAATATTTTTTAAAACTTGTATACGAAAA